AATAGGTAGTTTCAGAGAAGAGAGAAGCAATGTTGGTTTGAGCAGATGAATCAGCACTGGCTTCAGGTGACTGAGAAAAGGAGGCACTTTGGCTGCCGTCAGTTGTGCAGCTTGATAGAAGGATGAGCTTAGGCACTGGCATTGCATAGAAGCTGAAATTCCCTGTAGGTTCCTGAGGCTATGAGAAGAAAATCTAGTTGCTGTGAAGACATCTTTATTAAGTACATTTTGTGACCTCCTAGCTGATTGGGCATTTTTAACTGACTTGTACTTGATGTTAAAGATTGTTCAAATTTTTAAAAAAGCAACCATGTGGTGATGGCACGTGGGGTAGTGAATTTTAAGTAAGACTGCATGAAATTCAAACATTTAATCTTAAATTACAAACCACTGGTTGCCAAAGCAATTTTGAGATGGAATTCCTTTTGATTCGCAGATCCCTTTGCCTCTTTTAAGGAACAAATGAGTAAACGAACTATGGAAATTCTATTTGATGTCTCAGAATTTGCTGGGAAAGAAGACTACATTTTCCTTAGTGGCACCTGGCAGCAGGTCCATCTCTGCCGGTTAGTTTGGAAAAACTTGATTATGATCCACAGATAACATTACACTTCACACATTTTTCCACTGCATAGCTAAAAAAAATCCCTATCCCTGTATGTTTCAGAGCAGTTAAACAAGATGTAGCTGTGAGATAGCAGGAAGTGTCCAAAAAGATAGGGCCCGGCCCTTTTCTTTTTTAAGTTAAAAAGAAAGGATCAGACCTATAAACATATTTTCATACAGTTATATTGAAGGGCAAGGTGATGTAGCCCTCACTCCCCTGAGTTTCCTTATTCAGAAGAGTAAGACCTTAGTAGCCTTATATAAAGATTACTACCACAAGGATTTTTTGCAGGATTGAACTCTCATGTGTTCTCTCTGGTTATGACGTCCCCATATTTAAAGCACTAGTAGAAGGAGATCAGTTGTGAAACCTGAGTGCTCATTAGACAAAGTGGATGCTAGGAGTGATCAGCCCCTCTGAAAATCCAGCTGTAGGTCTCATACCAAAATGAGACACCCAGAATTCAGCTGGACTCTTTTGAGCACAATTGGCCTTAGTGTCCCTGAACATCTCTGGTCTCACTTATCAGGTACAAATTAGAAGTAATTCAATGAAGTTACTTTGAGATAACCACTCCTGGAAATGAGACCAAAATTAGATGCAGTATGCATGTTATTCAGTCTGTAACATGGTAATTGTGATACTTACCTGTCTCACACAGCAATTGGGAGGTTTAATTGACTCATTTCTGTAAAGAAATGAGAATTTTGGGTTGGGAAGTGCAAGGTGTTAATATGTTGGCTCTCAAAGTGCTGAACTCTGAGGAAAAGTGGGACTGTAGTAAAGGTGGAATTCAAGAGTCTTGGGTTCACTTTTCTGTTTCAGCACAGCCTTCCTTTGTAACCCTGTGACTCAAGTCAGTGTTGTGCAGTGATAATCTGAGCCAGGTATATATGGTACAGAGCCAGTGGCTACATTGACACCTATGCTAGCTCTTGAAATGGAAGCAATATATCTGCATTAGCACTGTGCTGAACTGAGCTAATATGCCACGATCCTCAGCAGAGCTAATATACTTGTACAGTGCCGTGCTGTGCTGACACAGCTTATACCCCTGCCAATTCTGGAGCTCAGACATGGCAGGGCATTCTCTGTGCATACCACTGGCCTGTACCCTATAGACTTGTACTCTATAAACCCTCAGTATTTCTGTGCCTCAGTTTCCCATTTGAGCTTGGAGGGAAAATAGTACTTTCTTCTCTCACAATAGTGCTGTGAAGATACATACATTATAGATAGGGATGCACTTAGAGCTGCACTGTGAGGGCCATCTGAGTACCCCAAAGGATGATAAAAATTAAGATAGATAGATAGATAGGTAGATAGATAGATAGATAACCATCATGGGTGACTGGTGCCTCCTGAGTCTGGTGGGGCACGCGGTGGCGGTGGGGGTGGACATGGTGAGCACCTGCAAACACCACCAGTGGTGGGGACGCCTATCAAGGGGGGGCACATCCCCCACACCTCACCCCATGCCCTCCCTACCAGTTGCCTATGATAATATATATAAAGCAAGGAAATAAGCAAGAAGAAGCAAGGAAGTAAGCAAGCTAAGAGCTAGTGCCTTCACAGAGAGAGATACACACACACATATATACATATATATATACACACACACACACACACACACACACACACATACACACACACACACACACACACTTGTGAAGGCAATAGCTCTTAGCTTGCTTACTTCCTTGCTTCTAAACTCCCTCCCATTGCTCTCCAGTTTGCACCTTTTTCTTCCAGGGAAAAAAATATTGTTTGTTTTTTTAACTAAATATCACACGACCTGATTCATAATAAGAATTTTTTTTTGTTTTGATTTGTTTAATTTCTAGATACATCAAACCTGTTGGAAACTTTCATATATGGTCAGCGTAGTGTAAAATTATTCTCCTCAAGAAATAATTACCAAGTAGCTAATCTTCTCGTAAGAAACTACACGCATGTGATCAGGTACTTTCTCTAATTTTATTCATCCCTGAAAAGACACTGCAGAGCCAATATGGCTTTTTTTGCCCTTCTCCTCTATTTTGTGAATCAGGACATCCATGCATTATTGAGGCCTGCTCAAAATGGAGCTGTCTTTAAAACATCCTCTTTATATTGAGGATTAGGTCTGGATTATTGCTGAGAGATCATTCAAAATCAGAGCTAAGCATCTACCCAGAAATCATCTGTAATTCCAGTTGCCCCTTATTTTAGCTAATAAGGGGCTATAAGGACAATTGAATCAGAGCTGTGTACCTGTCAACTGGCCTGAAATTCCCAGTACAGCTCTGAATTGTATGCTGTGTGATTACCAAGTGAAGCACAGTGCTGTGTCTTATCTTTTTTCTAAATCCTCTTAATATGGTTGCTGCTGTATCCCACACACGCTACTGAATCAGTGCAGCCAGAATCAGCGCCTTCTGTCAGTCACTTAGAGGGCTGCTCTACCTTCAGAAGGACTGATTCTGCAGAGCTAAAGACCATCAGGCTTGGGGCAGCAGCAGCCTCTTTGGGCTGGAGGTTTTAATAAAAATCAGTTAAAATGGGTAAGGATGAGTGAGAAACAAGGGAAAGGAGGGAAATGGAGGAGGAAAGGACCAGAGGCTTGTTGCCAGCGAAAAAATGGCCAGAAAAAGCTGACCAAAAGGTTCAGGGAATGAAATGCAAGATGAAAAAAGGTGTTTGTACACAACACAAAGTTTGTGTGTGTACAGCCCTTGGCACAAGGAGTCCCAGTCCCTGAGAGGGACCCTATGTGCTATCGCACTGCTAGTCGCAATAAGGAAAGGAACTGGGATAAGAGGAGACAAAAAAAGAATTACAATTGTAAGAATCCAAATCCCAGAAAGGGAAAATATGCCTGGCTTCTGGAGAGGAGATGTCTATCATGGCATGCAGGGTATGTTCCCTATGACCCAGGGGGAAAAAGAACGCTTCTGCCTATTAGGTTAATGATTTTTATAAAGTGGTCATAATATCAATAAAAATGAATGCTGCTTAAATGCCCTGCAAAGAACTCATTGTGTGTGGGGTTGTAACTACCGGCACAGTCCTGCACCCTCCATGAGTCGCCCCACAGGAGACACTGTGACGCAGAGACATGTTCCCTCACCTGCTTCCTCCTCCCTCTGTAGGGCAGAAATTCTCTGCTGACTGACACCCACCCCCAACTATTCCCTGAACTAGGCTTGCTCTGCTCCTCTGGCAAGGAAGGAGGAAGATGAAGCCAAGGCTTCACCTATTCCCAGCTCACCCACCTGCCCCTTGCCCATCTGCTGTGGGGGGAGAGGAAGCAAGTAAGTGTCCTGCTTCCTCCCACCTGCCCAGACTTGGTGACAGTGTAAAGTGAAGGGTGATTCTTCCCCTTCATTCCCTTGCACAGCCATGTGGTCTGAGTCACAATCCAGCCCTGTAATTATACCCATGGACCCTATTTATCCCCATCGAGGTAAGGACATGATCCTCTGATGTTATGAACCTTCCCAAGTGCTGCTGAAGTCACGTGACTCTGACAACATTAAGCATCTTCCCAGAGGTTTTTTGTATCTGATTGATAAGGAGTGGTCCAAGCTGTACAGGCCCATCCTACATGCAGACACACAGCGTGATTTAGCCCAGGGCTCTCGAACTAGCAGCTCATGGGCCACACACAGCCCCCAAATGGTTAGAATACAACCTGCAGGCTCCCATCTGACTGCCATCGCCCCCTTCGCCTTTTCTCCTGGACTGGAGCCAGGTTCCTCAGGGTCCCCCTCCCTCCTCTGGCTTCTACTTCTTGCCCTCACTCCTCGGGGCAGGGCAACACAGCAGGAGGAGGTTGCCATGCCTCAGCTAAGTGAGTGGCAGGAGGCCAGGGACATCTCATGCTGCATGCAACAAAGGCTACTCACAATGCAGGTGGGCAATGCATGTGGCTGGGAGGAGAGGGGGCTGCTCTGTGTGCAGCATGTAGGAACTGGACTTCCTCTGCTGTTAGGGGTGTTAGGATGTCCATATTGTATGTGTGGTGGTGGGGGATAGGAGGCTGTGCATGCTAGGCTGCCCAAACAGTGGATGAAAGCCTGGGGGGGTGTGCAGTCTGCAGTCCATGTCTCACCTGGTCCAGGGTGAAGCATGTGGCTCCCAGCTTCCTGGAAGGACAGCCCTGGCTTAAGTGTTTATTTTTCTAACCTTAGGCTGGTGAAAGGTTCCTCAACTGAGAACAGACCATGCACTAAAACCAGAGTTTTAAAAATCAACCTCTACAGAGTTAGTTGGCTGAGCAGAAAAACCTGAGTCTTGCTTTTAAAAAAGGGTTGAAAAAAAGTAAGTCACTGCCACACACCAAAAAAGGCAGCATGGACTTATTCATTTTACAAGCATACAGAAACCAGTTTTTCTTGGGAATGAAACTCACAAGGTTAGCTTTTGAGGGGTGTCTCAGTCCAAGTTCTGCTCACCGCAGTTCCGATAAATAGCAGGTGAAAGCAGGTAGAAGGCTAACAAGCTGTGCTTTACTCTCCCCCCTTCTCCAATCACTTTCACCCAGCAGAGGGCAGGTTAAGGCCTCTTTAAACTTATGACTTGATGAGTCCCAACACCTGGTGAAGTCTGGAGGGGGGTGGGGTTCTGTAGAAAATCTGTTCACCCATTTCTTTTTACAGGTGATATGTTAACTTTCACCAGAGGCTGCGGACCTCTCCTTCCACACAGAAGGGGATAAAATAATCGACTCTTGAGGTTGCCCTTTAGGGCGCATCCCTACATGCAGTGGTGTGCATTTGCAGCAGCAAAAATAGTAGCTAAACAAATTTGTGCCACTACTTTTTGCCATAGTACATGCCCCTGCACGTTCACTTTGCTGTGGTTGCAAATTGCCCCACTTGAAGCAAACTGCCCTTTTGCCACTCCTGCTGACTCCCAGCATGCTGGAGGAGCCAGGGGGTAACTGAAGGAGCGGAGACACTCTGGCCAGCACCCAGAGCATCTCCCTGAAGTACCAAGCCTCTATGTCTGCTGGCTCATGCTTCTATTTCATGTGCCACACTACTCTTTTTCTCACTGTGGTTTTTTGGTACCAGGATTTCCCAGTAGCAAAATTTGCCCCTGCACTTTAAATCTGCAGTGCGGGGCATATTTTAACATTCCAGGCGTGCAGTTTTTGGTGCCACAAAGAGATATTTGGCACACAAACCACATGTGCCTGCACATCTGGATGCAGCCCAGACATGCAGACATGTGGTATGTGATGCTGTAAACCTCTTTGCAGTGTCACAAACTGTACAAGTTGCACGTTAATCAGTGCGCAGCACTGCCAATTTGCAGGCCAGGGCAAAATTTGCTACCAGGATTTCCGGTAGCAAAAAAAATCATGGAAAAAAAGCAGTGCAACCCACCCCAAAGTGGCGAGCACCGGAACAAATGCAGAGATAGGAGAACAGGCAGCTCTGGCTGGTTGGGGCACAGGGTGCCTCAAGGCAGGGAAGCGGGATGCTCTGGGCTGCCTACTTCCCTGTCTCCACATGCCTCAGCACGGGGTCTCCACTGGTATGCGGCACATGGAGCCCCTGCACTGAAGCACCTGCACCACAGCCACTGCTCACTGCCTGGCTGGGGCACAGTGTGTCTCAAGATAGGGGAGCAAGCTGCCTGCTCCCTTGTCTCAAGGCACACTGCACCCCAGCATGGAGGCTACACATGCCTCAGTGCAGAGGCTCCATAGTGAAGCCCCCATACTGAGGCGTAGAGAGAGACAGGGGAACACCCAGCCCAAGGCTGCCTGCTCCCCCATCTCAAGTCACACTGTGCCCTAGCCAGGCGGGGAGTAGCTACCTGGGGTGCAGGGTGCCTCAGCGCGTGGGGTCCGCAGAACATGAAGATGGGGGAGCAGCAGACCCAGGGCTGCTTGCTCCCCCATCTCCACATGCCACTCCTTGGCTGGCTGAGACACAGGGCGCCTCAACACAGGGGATGGCTAGCTCCTGCTGAGGCGCCCTTTGCACCACCCAGCCCCCACCCCCTGCAGCATGTGGAGCAGTGGGACAATATTTACCACTGCAAAGCACACAGGAAGGGCAGTGCACTGCAGCACAAAGTAGCAGCACAAATTTGTGTGGCTACTATTTGTGGGCATGCCCCTGGTCATGTGGACCCAGCCCATATATCTATAAGAGGTTCACACCATGGCTAAATCTGTGTTAAGATTAAAAGATTGGAAGAGAGGGAGAGTGTGTGTGTATCAGGAAGGAGGGGGAGAGGGGCTCTTTCAGGCAGGGTCCACCTATGGGTTATGTTTGTACAGTGTTTAGCACAATGAAGTCACGGCCTCCAGGAGACAGCACAAGACCAATCACGTGATTTTCTTCATACTCTGCTCTCTGACATTTCATCTTAATGGGTAGTGATGGAAAACAGTTTCTAAGCAAAAGCACAAGCCACTTTTTATTCTTTTTCTCTTAACATTTTCTAGTTTAAAGCACATGATGATGAGGGTTGTATCCGACTGACTGAAACCAAATAGTAGTAGCACTACAACTGGATATCAGTGGGACATCTTGATAGCAGACAGCTCAGTCTCATTTGGTGTCCTCACCATCTCATCTGTGGGGTCAACATGTCTGATTCAGGTGGGTAGGGCTTATGGTCTTGGAAGTAGACAGAATACCCTATTGCCGCAGTATAAAGTGAGGAGAGGCAGCGAAGGTGTGGTAGAGAAGGGCTATCTGTCTTGTAGTGAATTAAGAGAGAAAGCTTTATTCAAGCTTCTGGGCACAGGTGGGACCTCTGAGCAGGCTCTGGCTCTCTAGTTCCCAAACTAAACACAGTCGGTGCTACCTTATGTCACTGCACTGAGATCTGTATTCTGTCTTATTCTATGGCCCCTTTTCTGTACTCCCTAAATTAATCCAAAGGCTAACTGGCCCACACACAGTAATTCACATCCCTTGCTTCAGCTACAATGAGCAGAGGTCTGGCTCCATGAATCATCTAACCCAGGGTCTAAGTCTTGACTTACATCTTCTGAAAAGAGTCTGAGGGAACTGGCCTTATTAGCCTGGAGAACAGAAGACTGAGGTGGGATTTAACAGTAGCTTTCAACTATGTGAAGGCTGGTTACAAAAAGGATGGAGCTAGACTGTTCTCAGTGGTGGCAGATGACAGAACAAGGAGCAATGGTCTCAAGTTTGCAGCAAGGTAAGTTTAGGTCCGATATTAGGAAAAACTTTCTCACTAGGAGGGTAATAAAGCACTGGAACAGGATCACCAGAGAGGTGGTGGACTCTCCATCCTTGGAGGTTTTTAAGATCTGGCTAACAAAGCCATGGCTGGGACAATATAACTGGGGCTGGTCCTGCTTTGAGCAGGGGGTTGGACTAGATGACCTCCTGAGGTCCCTCCCAACCCTCCTTTTCTATAATTCTATGATTAGACAGTCCTGGGCTTCTGGTTGCACTGCAGCTATAGTGAGACATTCCCCACATGGCCCTGCCAATGCACCCCCATTTTGGCCAATAGGTTAAACACTTTAGCCATGCTGAATTGCTTTTAAATAATACACCTACCAAGATCTAGGCAAAGATGATTAAACTTAAACAAGTGTTAGTTTAAATTTGTCTAGCCTGCAACTTCCAACTCAGTTTTGTTATACTGTCGTCAGCTATACTGAAAAGTTTTCTATTATGCTATCTTCCCTTGATCAAGCAGCCCTCTTGATTTTCTTTTTTGTTAAACTGAGCAGACTGAGCTCCTGGAGGCTTGTTTTTAAAACTATTCATCATTCTCAGGACTCTTTTCTAAACACTCTCCAACTTTCCCATGTCCTGGAATTGTGGACCCAAGAACTGAAAAGAGTATTTCAACAGGAGTTGCACCCATGGTCATTATGAGGTAATTGGATAACCTTGGCTCAAGAGTCTCCTGCTGGATCTATCTGCAGGGCACATTGGCCATTATGACCACAGCATCATACTAGGAGCTCATGTTCACCTGATTATGCAATGTGACCCCCCAAAACTCTTTTCTAGAGTCACTGCTCCCCTGGACAGTCTCCCATCCTTTGGATATGCCTGTGTGCATTATTTCCAGATGTGCAACTTTATGTTTGATTGTACTGAAATGCATATGCTTTGTTGATGCTCTGCTTACCAGGAAATCCAGATCACTCTTGTTTCAGTGTTTTCTTCTTTCCCTTATTTACCAGAAATCATCATTGTTAATGAGTGCCTCTGAAAAACGCTGGAGTTGGACTGTGCAACCTCTACAGGTTTCCCTCTCTTTATGCGGGTTCTGTATGTGCGAATTCGCTCTCATGTGATGACCCTTTTTTATAGCAAAATTTGTTATATGCGAGGTCAATTCACTCTTATGTGATCAGTGTGGTGGAAGCCAGCAGTCAGCTGCTTTGTGCGGTGCATTGTGGTAGTGATGTGCACTAAAATATAGTCCCCTGTGTGGATCTGTGCTCCTCACTCGTTGTCTGTGACACATGTTTCCGTAGTTGCCATCCCCATTATGATAGCATTCACCACCACCCTGTGCTTGTGTATACTGTCTGCTGTTGATGATTACCAAAATTGTCTTGTAAAATTGGTGAAAATGGAACTGGAGGTCAGTACACTTGAGGTCTTGGAACATATCCCTATTTGTTACATTGTTAAGTGGGTTCCCTTTATGTGAATTTGAGTTATATGCCATTTTCCAGGAATGCATGTACAGCATAAAGCAAGGGAAACCTGTATTCATATTGCTCTATGTTCAGTCATGTGTATGCTCCCATTGAAATGTATAGGACTGACTGAGGAGTAGGGTGTTACTTAAAGTAGATCCTTACAAAAACTTAATTGAACTAAACATCTAGGTATCTGTCATTGTGCTTCATTGGCTTGGTAGATTTGTTGTAATAGCATGGGTAATCATGGCAGGTAGGGGGTGGGAGAGTACATTCATGCCTGTACTGCAGATAATTGACATACCCAAACTAGCTAAGAGCAAGCAAACCAGATGCTAGAGGCTGTGCAGCTGCACCAGCACAGAGTTCAGCTGAGAAATAGGTGAAATTAGCCCTCACAGGCTGCATCTACATGAGTAGGGACATGCATTTGCAGCTGCGCAAATAGTAGTGGCACAAATTTATGCTACTACTTTGTGCTGCAGTGCACACCCTGCTGCTCCACGTGCGGTGGGGGAGTTGGCTGGGGCACAGGGTGCCTTAGCATGGGGCTAGCTAGCAGGCAACCCCTGATGTGAGGCACCCTGTGCCCCAGCCAGCTGGGGAGTGGCACATGGAGAAAGGGGAGCAGGTAGCCCAGGGCTGCTTCATTCCCTATCTCTGCATGCTGCAAAGTCTTCTGGACTGAGGCACCCTGCACACCAGCCAGCCGCCCCCTGGCTGACTGGGGCACAGTGTGCCTTGAAATAGGGGAGCAGGCAGCCCTGGACTGTCTGCTCCCCCATCTCCAAATTTGTCCTGGCACATGGCACTTTGGCATGCTTTGCACTGCTTTTTTTTCTCCAGGTTTTTTTTTTTTTTTTGCTCCCAGGAAGTCTT